GTTTTCGTTGCCTTAGCTTTTTCAGCTTTAAGGCGTTCGACTTGTCGAACTCTATCGGCCAGTTGGGCCATGTCTCTTAGGTACTGGGTATCTAGCTTCTTCCTAATGGAATAATCTAAACCACCTGCGGCCATTTCGACCAGCTCATGTTCTGGCACTTGTGTAAAACATCTCGCCTTAAGCAACCTAAACCTATTCAGATATTCGTCTATAGGTTCAGTGAAACGTCTCTTCACACTCGCCAGTTCTTTCAGGCTTATCTTGGTTTGCCCCATATAGAATTGTTCGTGGAACAATCTTTCCAACTGGGTCCAATGGTGGATCGAATTGGGGGGTAGAGTTGTGAACCAAGTAAAAGCGTTCTTGGTTAAGGAACTTGGGAAGTATTTGATCCTTAGGTTTTCATTATTTGAAATGTCTCCTGCTTCGATCAAATACCTTGCCACATGTTCGACAGTAGATTCTGTCGTGTCCCCAGAGAACTTAGTAAATTTGGGGACTTTGGTTCTAGGGGGTAAGTCAGTTTGTAACACATATTCTGACAATGGAGATGTAAAGTTGGGCCTTCGAAAGCCCATGTTCATTCCATTCTGTGTCATGATTCTTTCGATCATGGTTGCCAGATTGTTTTCCAAACCCATGTTTTGGTATTGGACATGCTGAACCACTTCGTCAGCATTTTGGTTTCTGTTAACTAACCTTACCTCTGGGGCTATTACCCTAGGTTCTTCGACAGGTTGTTCTACAGGCTGTTGAGCCTGATTAATGGTGGTTTCTTCCTCTACAAATATCCCCTGATTTCCTCTTATTTGCGCCCTTTGGGGCTGTCGAATAGGTGGGGGTGCTCCAAAGAAGTCAGCCAAACGCGTCATTTGCGCTGTAACTTGCTGATTCGATTGAGTAGTATTTTGTATTAGAGGATTTAGCACTGTACTCAAAGTTTGTGCCAACATTTGCACCATATCATGGTTGCTTTCGTCCATCTGTTGCCTCAAGACTGCTGTCGAGGCATTTGTAAGGCCATGGGCTACTTGGGACGTTCCTCCTAAGAGTTGGGTCCTATTTCTATTCGCCATGCCTACTCCAGAGCCTTGGAGTGGCGAAGTGGCACTCACGAAAGGGTCTGAATAAGTGGACGCAGCATTCGTCAGGCTTGCCAATTCAGAAGTTGGCATACCATAGAATGGAATAAATCCTGGGGGAACCACTGGCCTTGGGCCAGTATTTCCCCTTGGAGGGGGGGTTCCCAAAGTCATTCTGGGGCCTGTAAACGAAGTTATTGGCCCCGTGGTTGTGACTGACACTGCTGGTGTCGAACCAACATTCGTCGCTTCACTCACGGTCATATTAACCGTTGCTCCCACACTCGTTTGTGGGATTTCATTATTGTTTGGCGGATTCGCCATCTCTTCCCTTCTCCTGGCAGTATTGCTATCGTTGGTGTATATTCTACCACTCCTCAATAACATACAACTCGAAAAGATGAGATTTTTCAACAATCAACACACAACCCACTAGGTGTCCCACCGGGTGTGCCAATTTGTTTACCTGGGGATTTGGTAAACAACCGCTGATCCTCCAAATGGTTACTTATTTGGTTACTCGCAGGATCGATCAGATTGATCCTATGGACATAGGTTGATTTTGAAGTTTAATTAATGTGGATAAGGCTTTAAGTAAATTGTTTAAAGTAAATTGCATAAAGGAAAGGCTTGGTAAAATAAACAAGGCTTGAATGTAAAGGTTCGACAGGAATCTTAAAGGGAAAAAGCATGTAAAATACTGGAAAAGTAAATGACTTGAATTGATTAAATTGGTGTTTCACACATACATTTCTCAACAATTCGTTCGCTCACACTGGGTACTTGAATCTAAATGAGTGACTATGTATTTTTTGTGAACACCCGCGAGAAACTACACGTCTACTCCTATTTATACAAAAACATTCCAAGTAACCGTCGGGCAGTTACACTGCTTCGAGATCAAGCCACTTGTCACGTTCTCCATGCTCGACGCTCCAGATCCTTGCACGTTTGCACGTAGTAACTGCTGGAAACCGTTTTCCCTCCAAAGCTTTGAATTTCAAACTGCTCCACTCTGGACCATCGAACACGTTCGTCAAGAGACGTCTTCGACGAAAACTCCTTCGATATCGAAGGCAATCAGCCTTCTTCCTTAGAAGAAATCTTCTAAGTATTTGGCCACCTTTCGACGGGCACTTCGACAGGCTTAGCCAGTCGAAAGCATCTTTCAGCTTTTAATGGCTGTCATCAATCAAAACAAAGGTGTCGAATTTAGGAGCCAACAGTTACACTCTGGATTTGAGTTATTCATATATTGATAGTTGGAGAGAGGTTAGGAACACTAGGGTAGAATATATGGTTGTTTTTGGGCGCCTTCAGGTTTGTCATTGAGAACTCTGAAGACATTTGTTGCTCTCTCACTCAGAATAGATCGTTTATTCGAACTAGGTAAACAAATCTTTTGTCTTTTTCTCACCTTATTCTATTAAACCTTCTGTTTATTATTTATCATTGCTTAATGCCATTTATTTTTGTTGCTACTGTTCTTTGCCTCAAATATTGAAATTAAACCTTGTCGTTATTCACAACACTCTCTATTGATACTACCAAATAAGAAATCTTATATGTGAATAAGAAGTTAATTTGCACCCTTAATTATATTTATTAGTTTTTTCCTAGAATAAGGGAAACAAATCAACAATTGGCTTGTTCTCATTAAATGTAATTATTAGTGTGATTACCTGTATAGTCATGTAACCTATATGTATATACAGGAAACAATAATGAGAAAGGCATGAAGTCAAGAATTATTGACATGGTATCAGTAGGTTTTCGATCAAATCTGTGAATTTTAGGTTAATCTTGGCCTTTTTCAGCGACACCCCCACTGGATCGCTCTTGAAATCATCTCGACAGATTCCAGTTCTCGATAATCTCTTCCCGGCTTGTCATTGTGATCTTTGGTAATTACAATTGTTTCTTGGATCCGTTCTTGCTAGTGCTTAAGGGTTGCAATTCGGTATTCATTCTTGTTTGCAAATCGAATTCAGTTTGAATATTCTCGTATAGGTGCAGACAAGCTTTTAGATTTGGGTGTTGATTTCTGTATTCTACCATTCACACACGTTTTGTTTTTGTTTATTCATTAGTACTACTTCTAATATAAACACACGACAAGTGCAGCAACTTACGTTAAAAAAAACATTGTTGTTACGTGGAAGCTCCTGTTCACGCGTGGAGACTCTTGTTCACGTGGCCATTCTTTGTTGTTCTCAAATCATTTTAATTATTAGCAATATTGCTTCTATGGCTTCCGAAAGAAATTTTATTTGTGCTCGTTTTACTGGAAAGAATTATTCGACTTGGAAATTTGAGTTTCTGATCTATGTCAAAGGGAAAGGATTATGGAGTCACTTGGAAGACGTCTCTTTAGCACCGTTAGAGACAACTGACTTAGATGCATGAGAAATAGAAAATGCTCAGATTATCACTTGGATTCTCGGTACTATTGATCCTCATATGATTAATAATTTGCTATCTTTAACCACTGCTCAAGAAATGTGGAACTACTTAAAGCGTATCTATAACCTAGACAATGCAGCTAAAAGGTTTCAGTTGGAGCTAGAGATTTCCAATTACAAACAAGGTAATCTGTCAATTCAAGAATATTATTCTGATTTTTTGAATTTGTGAACAAAACACTCTGCGATTATACATGTTGATGTTCCCAAGAGCTCTCTCGCGGATGTCCAAGAGGTTTACAATACTAGTAGGCGAGATCAATTTCTCATGAAGCTTCGTCCATAATTTGAGGTTGTTAGAGGTGCTTTGCTGAATAGGAATCGTGTTCCTTCTTTAGATACATGTGTTGGTGAACTTCTCAGAGAGGAACAATGCCTTGCTACTAAAGGATCCATGATTCATGATGCTGTCATTTCTGAGCCTGCTATGGTTGCATATGCTGCTTAGAGTAGAGGTAAAGGTCGTGATAGCAGGTCCAATATTTCTCTTGTAAATAATTTGGACATTTTGCTTAGAGTTGCAATAAGAAGTTTTGTAAGTATTGCAAGCAGCGGGGCCATATTATCTTTGATTGCCAATAATTTGGTTTCGTGGTCTTTTAGCTGAATTTGGATTTCCTCAAACAGAGTCAACCTCACTTTATGCTGACAATACAAGTGTCATCCAAATCATTGCGAATTCTGTTTTCTATGAGCGCACCAAACATATCGAAGTTGATTGTCATTCAAGTCGTGTCGCATATGATGACAAACTAATATCACTTCCTCATGTCAGTTTTCAGTTGCAGGTTGCAGATATTCTTAACAAGGTTGTTCCACGTCCACGACACCAGTTTCTTGTTAGCAAATTGATGCTCATTAACCAGCCGCATCAATTTAAGGGAATGTGAATAAAAAGTTAATTTGTACCCTTAATTATATTTATTAGTTTGTTCCTAGAACAAGGGAAACAAATCAGAAATTGACTTATTCTCATTAAATATAATTATTTAGTATGATTACATCTATAGTCCTGGAACAATGAAAAAGACATGAAGCCAAAAATTATTAACATTATATACAAGCGGGATGGATTACTTGTATAGCAAATGATGCTAACTAACTAACTAACATATAACTAATTCAAAGTTAGTTATATAATCATCCAATGAATTCCTAACACACTTATTATTGTTTATTATTGAAGACGTTTCCCATGCATATATTTCTATTCAATCATTTCTGTTTATTTAAATTATTATCAATATCTAGTCAATATGGTCTTAAATAGTTGTTGCAATAATAGTTATAGTTGCAATGCGATCCTTGATATTACGGAGAAATGTGGCCTATCACAATGTCCGATGTATGTGTCGCTGCTTCATAGAATTATCATCATATCAACTTTCATAGTCGAACTTGCACTCTTTCACTCACACTAAATTATAGTTTTGTGTTTTTGTCTTTCCTCTTTCAGGCCAGAATCTATTGAGATTGAAACAATTGTTCAAGCAGTAATAAAATCTTTGAATCATAAATTCTCAAGGTTTACCAACGATCTTGTTGGGATGCGACCTCGCATAGAAGAATTAGAAAAACTTCTACAATTGGGCTCAATGGATGGTGACTTCCGAGTTCTGGGAATTTTGGGGATGAGTGGAGTAGGAAAGACAACTCATGCTATGGTTTTGTACGACAGAATCTCTTATCAGTTTGATGTTCGTTGTTTTATTAATAACACAAACAAACTTTATATGGATGATGGCATTGTTGTTGTACAAAGACAAATTCTTCGACAAGCTCTAGACGAAAGAATCTAGACTCGTACGATACTTGTGAAATCGCCGGGATTATGTTAAGTAGGCTTCACAGTGGCCTTAAGGTCCTTCTAGTCCTTGACAATGTTGATCAATTTGAGCAATTGCAGGAATTAGGTATAAATCCTAAATTACTTGCGAGAGGCAGTAGAGTAATCATAACCACAAGGGATGAGCATCTTCTGAGAGTGTATGGGGCTGATAAAATTCACAAAGTTCCTCTGTTGAATAGTAGCGATGCTTCTGAACTTTTTTTAAAAAAGCCTTCAAATTTAATTACCAAATCACCGATTATGTTGAGTTGATTCCAGAGGTACTAAAATATGCTCAAAATCTTCCATTAGCAATTGAAGTAGTGGGCTCTTTCTTGTGTACTCGAGATGCTACTCAATGGAGAGATGCTCTTGATAGATTGAAGAACAATCCAGACCGTAAAATTATGGACGTGCTCCAGATTAGTTTTGATGGATTACAACATGAGGAGAAGGAAATATTTCTGCACATTGCTTGTTTTTTCAAAGGGGAGAGGGAAGATTATGTAAGGAGAATTCTTGATGCATGTGGATTGTATCCTCACATAGGAATTCAAAGAGTTATTGAGAAGTCCCTCATTACCATTAAAAACCAAGAGATTCATATGCATGATATGTTACAAGAACTGGGGAAGAAAATTGTTCGGGACAGGTTTTTAGACGATCCAGGATTGTGGAGCAGAGTATGGCGATGCAATGATTTCTATCACGTCTTGAAGACAAAAACGGTAAAAAAATATGTTTTAAAATCTAGAGGATGTCATTTATTCTTTTTTTAGTGAATTTAATTGAGAAAAAAGAATATACACTTTTTATATCGTCAACCAATCACCATTTTGAATTCCTTCAAATTACGCTATAATTTTTAAAATACTGATCTGACATGGTAGAATGATAAAATTCTATTGGACCATTCGACTAAGTATGAGTCGATACTTCTTGTTCCATGCCCTAAGTGTCTGTTTGAGATCATATAACGCTTTGTGCAACTTGTATACTTTTCTTGCTTCCTCCTGAATCAAAAACTCAGGAGTTTGTGTGACATACATATCTTCATCTAAAGGACCATTCAAAAGTGTTGATTTTACATCTAAGTGAAATGTCGACCAACCTTGCTTACATGACAAGGCTACCACCAATCTGACACTCTCCAATCTTGCGACAGGTGCATATACTTAAGAGTAGTCGAGTCCTGCTCTCTGAAGAAATCCTCGAGGTACTAATATCGCCTTATGTCTTGCTATCGATCCATCAACATTGTGCTTCAACTTGAACACTCACTCCACTTCGTTAGCTTTTGTATGTGCTGACAATTCAACCAACTCCTATGTGTTGTTTCTTTCGATTACTTGTAACTCTTCGACCATAGCTGACTTCCACTGTTTATTCTTTAAATTCTCGCTATAGTTGATTGGCTCAGCACCTGCAAGTAAAGCAAAATAAACTTATTATCCATCTGGTGTGACTTCATCATCACTAGTTACTTCATAGTATTGAAGTCTTGCTGGACGAACTCTATTTCTTTGAGGTCTTTGGCTTGTGTTAGCCACAGTCTCTTCGACTTCGAAAGTGTCAGAAATGTCAGCAACTGCTTCGACTGAAAGGATTTCCTCTTTAAGAGCAGAGAGAGAGAGAGAGAGAGAGAGAGAGAGAGAGAGGAGAGAGAGAGAGAGAGAGAGAGAGAGAGAGAGAGAGAGAGAGAGAGAGAGAGAGAGAGAGAGAGAGAGGAGAGAGAGAGAGAGAGAGAGAGAGAGAGAGAGAGAGAGAGAGAGAGAGAGAGAGAGAGAGAGAGAGAGAGAGAGTAATCACTAACAAATATAGCAAATGAATTAAAGTACGAGAGAATGAAGGAGAATTTATAGTAACTTTCAAACATTATTGTATGAATAATGAAATCCGGCATGAAAGACCTGTTCCGAAGACACCTCAGTACAATGGAGTAGCTGAGAGTATGTTGAAAGAGTGAGAACAATGTTATCTCATGCCAAGTTACCAAAGAGTTTTTGGGGTGAGACTCTGATGACTGTAGTTAATTTAATTAAGTTATCCCCTTCAGCTCCATTGAATATGTTCCAAATAGATTTGGACAGTTAAAGATGTATACTACAATCACTTGAAGGTGTTTGGTTGTAGAGTGTTTTGCTCATGTTCCAAAAGACGAGAGAGATCAAAACTTGACTCAAATTCGAAGGAATGCATCTTCTTTGGATATGGAAATTAAGAATTTGGGTACAAGTTATGGAATCGTATAGAGAAAAAGATTATCAAAAGCAGAGATGTTGTCTTCTTTGAAGACCAGAATATTGAAGATGTTCAGAAGGGAGTTAAGCCTGTTATTTCTAAAGAACATCCAATCAAATTGGATCCAATTCCTCCTCTAGAGTATTATGGGAGAGATGAAATAGAAGATAATAGAGATGAAAAAAATGAACCTCCAACTAACAATGGTCCAACTGGAGAAGTAACAGATAGTAATAGAAGCGTTAGTGATAATGAAGATATGGTTGAAGACTATGAGGATGAAGAATAAGTTCCTTAAGTAAGAAGCTCATTTAGGATACCTAAACCAAAAACCAAATATCCTGCAATGGAATTTGTGTTACTCGCTGACGGGTGGAGAACAAGAGTCTTATGAAGAAGCTATGATAGATGTCCACAAAGAAGAGTGGTTGAAAGCCATTATGGAAGAAATGCAATCCTTGCATGAGAACCTGGCATATAAGTTGGTATTTTTACCGGAAAGTAAAAGAGCACTAAAAAATAAATGGGTGTACAAGTTAAAAATCGAGGAGAATAACTCACGACCTAGATACAAGACGAGATTAGTCGTGAAAGACTTTAGTCAAAAGAAAGTCATTGATTTTGAAGAAATTTTTTCACCCGTGATCAAGATGTCATCTATTCGGATAGTGTTTGGTTTGGCTGCAAGTTTGGATCTAGATGTGGAACAACTAGATGTGAAGGCTGAATTTCTTCATGGTGATTTAGTACGAGTTTTGCAGGAGAAGTTGTGGACTGTTGGAGCCATCTACCTAAATCGGAAGTGGGAGATTGAAATTACAGAGAATTTTTGGTGAATAGGTGGAAGGAAGAAAGAGAAAATGTATGCTTATTTTATAGCCGCTTATTCTTATTGTATGCATGCATTCATTATAAATCCTTTCTTGTGTTTTCATTATTACATCATCAGACTATAATCCTTTTGAGAGATAAAAACCAAAAGAGAGTGTAAGCCACCATTTATATTTGGTGAGATTGTAATAGCAACATTTGAACTTTTCATTCATTTTTACAAAGAAGTTATTATTGTTACTCCATTGTTATTATTAGTATTATTATTATTATTGGAAAAGTGCGATTTTTGGGTAATCATCCGTTGACCTTATATTAGACATTTTAAGTGATATATTTCCCAACATCGACTTCGACTGGAATATCGACAATTACTTCGACTTCGACTTCATCAGTTTCTTCATCAAAGCCATAGATCATGAATGACTATTTAATTGCATCACCAGAATTCCAATCTCATGAAGAATTTTCTTCAATCATAATATCTCGACTCATTACGATCTTCTCATTAATTGGATTGAACAACGTGTATGCTCCAGTTTTGTGATATCCTACCAGAATCATATGTTCACTCTTGTCATCAAGCTTCATTCTTCTCGCATCAGGAATATGCTTATAACAAATGAAGGCAAACACCTTCAGATGACTCACCGATGGTCGTTTTCCACTCCGCACTTCTTCAGGAACCTTGTTCTTCAACTTCTTTATAGGACACCTGTTCAGTATATAGACAACCGTGATGACTGCTTCACCCCATAAAGATTTTGGCAGATTCTTCTTCTTCAGCATTAATCTCACTAATCCAATATGGGCATGTTTCTTTTTTCTGTTATTCCATTATGTTGAGCAGGTTAAGGAGTAGTTACCTTATGATTAATACCATGCTCTGCACATAATTCTTCAAATATCTTAGATGTGTATTTGCCACCTCCGTCTGTTCGCATAACTTTGATCTTCTTCTCACTCTAGTTTTCGACAAGCATTTTGAATCTCTTAAAGATTTTGAATACTTCGTCCTTTCGCTTGATCGCATAGATCCAAAGCTTTCGACTGTACTCATCGACAAATGAGACGAAATACCTGTTTACACCAATGGTATGCTCCTTAAAAGGGCCACATACATTTGAATGTACAACTTTGAGTATGCAGGAGGATCTCATTGGCATAGTCAAATTGAAAGACTCTGGATTGCTTCCCTACTAAGCAACCTTCAGAGTTTGTCAGGAATCACAAGACTTGGTATATCTGTTACCATATCTTGAGTGATCAGTTGATTGAGTGACCTAAAGTTCAGATGGCCAAACCTCAAGTGTCACAACCAAACATTCTTGTGATCGACAACCGTTTTCAGACATTGTACCTCAGTCGAAGTGATCATGGTCTTAAATGTCATATTCTTCGACAAAGGAGATTTCAAGACCTGATTATTCTGTGTGTCTAACAGTTTCAATGCACCATCTTTCATAACCATTAAAAAATATTTTTCGATCAATTGTCAAACACTTAGCAGAATGCACTTTATTTCAATTACATGGAATACGTCTTTAATTATAGCTTTTGCTCAATTGATCTTTTGAATAACTATGTCGTTAGTATCTTTTATTTACAACGAGTTATTATCAACAAGTTTGACCTTGCTTTTAAGAAATATTATTCCCGCTTTTTATGACACGGACATTGAAATTAATTTTTTAGTATGTTGACTAATTTTAATATGAGGAAATATTGGATAGACTTCAAAACAAAACAATAAGACCAATTACTAGTTTTAAAATACAATTTTAAGAAAACAAATTACTATGTAATTTTTTCACACTTTGATTTCATGATTTACTTATTTCATTAAAAGTTTCGACATTGTAATATTGAATATATAGGTAAGTAATTAGGGTTGACAAAAATATAGTTCGAAATTCAATTCGATAATTAAAGTTGAACTTGATTCATGAATAAAATGAATTAAATAAGAATAAAAAAATTAAGTTCGATAATTAAATGAGTTGAACTTGAACTATATATAATTCGACTTGTTGAATTCATGCGTCAACTCGAGTATATATATATATATATATATATATATATATATATATATATATATATATATATATATATATATATATATATATATATATATATATATATATATATATATATATATATATATATATAAAGTGTAGGTTTTAAAGATTTACTCCAAATTTCATTCCTCTATTTTTTTTCTTCCAATTTTATAATTTTTATTTTATTTCAATATTTTTTTTACAAAAACATAAATTAAAAAGGTCAAATATATAAAAAGAAAATAGATTTTAAAATAACGCCTTATAAATTCGTGATGAATTTAATGACTTGAATCTAATGAGGTGAATCATTTGTCAATTTAAAAAAGAGTTTAGTTGGAGTTAAAAAAAAGTTTCTCTCAAACTGTTCAAATCAATTTTTATTGACTCAACTCATTTGCAGCCGTAAAGTTAATATAATTTTTTTAACATGTTTAATTAACGTAATTTCGTTGTTTTCTTTATTTCCATGATATGCTTATTCTGTTTTTTCTCAGGGAACAAACAATAATGTTAAAGCCATAGTTCTGGATCAAAAGGAAAATTTCCCCGAATGCGTGGCCGAAGGATTTTCAAATCTGAGCAACCTTGCACTTCTCATATTGTATCATAACAACTTTTCAGGAAATTTGGATTTTCTTTCCAACAACTTGCGATATCTTTTGTGGCATGGATACCCTTTTACTTCTTTGCCGTCAAATTTTGAGGCACGTTATCTTGTGGAATTGAATATGCCTGATAGTAGCATTCAACGGCTGTGGGACGGTCGCAAGGTACTCTAGTTACATAACAGTTTTTTTTATAAAAGTTTGCACCACGACAAGTTAATAAAATTCCAGTCTTAGTGATGGTTGCTAATTCTGTTTATAGGAACTACCTAATTTGAAAAGGATGGATTTGAGCAACTCCAAGTATCTTATAGAGACTCCAAAGTTTTTTTGGACCCCAAAACTGGAGCGGCTAGATTTTACAGGATGCACAAACTTAATACAGGTCCATCCATCAATTGGACATCTTACAGAACTTGTTTTCTTAAGTTTGCAAAACTGCAGCAGTTTGGTTGACCTTGATTTTGGTAGTGTATTAAGATTAAGTTCTTTGAGAGTTCTACGCCTTTCTGGTTGCACAAAACTTGAAAAGACGCCTGATTTTACTGGGGCATCAAATCTTGAGTACCTTGATATGGATGAATGTACAACTTTATCCAAAGTTCATGAATCTACTGGTGATTTGGCAAAGCTTAAATTTTTGAGTTTGAGAAACTGCACAAATCTGATTGAAATGCCCGATAGGATTAAGAGGATGGCATCCCTTGTAACTCTAGATTTTTGCGGTTGCTCGAGTCTAACAATTCTACCCCCGAAATGGACTCATACTGATCATATGAGATCTTTGACTTTTTTAGATTTAAGTTTCTGCAATCTTCATGAACTACCCGATAATATTGGAACGTTAAAGACATTAGAAAGAGTAAATCTACAAGGAAACAAATTTCATTCACTACCTGATAGTTTCTATGCTCTTGGTCGCCTAACATATCTAAACTTATCTCATTGCCACGAGTTTCAAAATAATATTGGATGCCTAGAGTCATCAAGTTCCCCAGGAAGATATCCTTTAATAACAGCGGGATCTCGTAATCCTAGGTCAGGATTATATATATTTGACTGCCCCAAGATCACGAGTTTTCCCGAAAACCAAATCATGGAAGCCATATATTTACGAATTCTGCGTAAGGTGTGTACGTTGTTTACTTGCCCCCAATTCTCTAGCTTTGATATATTATTAAGTATACCTTTTTCTTCTGATCTAACATGTGCAATCAGGAAGACATATATGCAACATATTAAAATTAACTTGTTGCATTTCCTTATTAAGGAGAAGCTATTTTAGAATGTTCTCATGTTCTCATAATTATATTTTTGATTAATTATCATCTGCAAGCCGCAAGCAACTTTATGCTTTTCATGGGTAATAATTATATGTCATTTCCTTGCACTCTCTAACTCTAATATAATTGTATTATTTTTTCTTCTGGTACCAGAATCCCCTGGGTAGCTATGACGTCGTTATTCCTTGGGATTGGAAAAACATTGATTTTTCGCCTAGTTGTATTCCAGGATGGTTCAGTCACCAATTTGATGGTGGTTCAATAGTAAGGATAGTAGATTTTAATAAGTTTGACGCGAAGTTTGGCTTTGCCTTCTGTGTGGCATTTGAGGTAAACAATCGTCCTGCAAATTCTGGTTCTCCACCGGATTCATTTTCCTCAGCACTCCCACATCCTTTTTATCTTTCTTTTGAAAGTGAACACACAGAGGAACGTTTCGATATGCCGCTCAGTTTGGATTTGAACAAAATTGATGGCTCCAAACATCTTTGGCTAATCTATATCTCTCAAGAGCACTGCCATTTTTTAAAAACTGGAGCACATATCACATTTAAAGCCTGTCAAGGTTTGTTCATAAAGAAATGGGGAGTGCGCGGGCTATTGAAGAATCAAGTGAGAGATTTTCCCTCCCGCTTATACTTATCGGACACTGTTGAACCCCAACTTTTCTTATATCATGTACAAGAAACCAGCATTAAGTCTGGTCCTAAAATCCAGCTTCCTTACAATTGGTTGGTTACTGAAGAGGAAGAAGTTGAGATTTCTCGAGCCAAGTCAAAAGAAACTGATCTTTCTAATCTGGGCCTTTAGATATGCCAATCACAGCCAAAACGCACAACACGTTCAGTGAACCTTGAGGTAATGATCTCACCTAAGCATGTTACGTAGTAATTCATTACATTTCTAATTAATAGTTAATTTTATAACTAATAATATGAGTTATCAGTATTACAATATAGGACATCCATGTTTTGCACTACAAGTTTGTCCAGTGAATATGTCTAATTATTTGAAGTTAAGGTTCAGTCATGAAGCTTATCAGGTGAATGAATACATGATAGGTACTGTTATCAGTTGCAACTTGGGAATTTCTTCAACTTTGGACAAATTCATAATGTGATGGTAAAATGTTCCTGTTAGACCTCTTATAGAAAATGTGGATAAAAGGATTGGTGTCGAAATTGCTCATGAGATAGTTTAGTTTAGTGGGCAGTTATGTATTTCCTTAGCAGTTATGCTTTTTATATTTCAGCAGTTACTTGGAAGGGTGAGATTCAAGACACTCAAATTTTTGGAAGGAACCGAACTGTCTATTGTGTTTCTGTTTTTGTGTAATTTGCTTCAGTTTCTTTTAGTTGTAATTGGAATTGTAACGCTGTTTTGAGAGTTTTTCTTCGGACTAGTGTTGAATGTAAATTCAGAAAATCCTCTCGCAAGTCCCTTGTTTTGGCCATTTATGTCAGTTTCCTCAAATAAGATGTTGTTGAATAAATTTGAGGGGCTACTCAGGTTTAATCTTACAATAATAAGTGGTGCATGAGAATTTGAGGGGCTACTCAAGCTTGCTGTCAAATGTTTCTTGGCTTATTTTCAATAGTTGCAATTGGTTGCTCGTTTTGTTTTCTTTGTTTGTCGATAACCTTTTTTGCATTTGGGTTTGTTTTTCGGAAAATGCTGCCTTGGTTTGTGCAACATTTGTGTATGTATTCTGTCACTTTGAAGTCTGACCAAACTTGTCATATCTTGTGTTTGTTTTAATTGTTTCATATTTAATGCACTATTTTGCCTATATAAATAAATTAATAAAGATTCATTATGTTTTCTCAATAAGAGATTTAAAAAGCAACTAGCAGCACAATTTGTTACCCTTTTGCTAAGTGCGTCCAAAACTAAAATTAAAAGATAAAACACTCGAGCTATAAAATATTATTCTTTAGAATTATATTTTCAGGATTATTATTCTTAGGAATAATATTCTCGTGCATGTGTTTGTGAAAATTTGAATTTTCTAAGAATGTTTACAAATTTAATTTAAACTAAAAATTATAAAATTAAAAGTAAAAGTAAATGTGAGTATTAGTCAAAAGTTAAGTTAATTAAACTTCATTCTCATAAGAATGTTGGATTTCCACCCTTTGACATGAGAATGAATATGAAAAAAATCATGTGTAAACAACAGTTTCAAGAATAAAAAATGCCCAGGAATAATTTTTTAAAAATTGAAACAAAAATATAATTATTATATTTTCAATATAAAATTCTCAGGAATCTTACTTTATAACTTGAAACAAATGCACTCTATGAGAAAATCTTATGCGTTAGTCGAGACTGAGACTCCCTTATACCTATCCTTGATAGCTCAAATAAGACAATCATAACCTCTTTCTTTGTTAGAACTTTACTCAAAATTTCGTTAGACACTCCATCACACGCCTTCTCTAAATAAATGAAAATTAAGTGCAAGTCTTTTTGATCCATTTGATATCGCTCCATGCCTCCATCACACGTCATAGTAAGTAGATCACTTCCGTTATCAACCTTCTACTATTCTAGGCATAAAATCAAACTAATTATCCCTAATTTGGATCTCTTTTCTTCGTCTTTGCTCAACCACTCTTTCTCATAACTTTATGTTTGGATGAAATGTGTTTTCTCAAAATAATATTCTAAGTCAGCATTGTGTTTGGATGAAATGTGGCTGCTATAGCAGATTGCCACACAAAATTGAACAAAACTGTTATCCCGGATTTCTACGGCATTGATCCGTCTCATGTTCGAAAGTATATTGAGGTTTTCAAAGATGCTTATTATTTTACACACTAACAAATTCAAACATGACCTAAGCAACTATTAGAGGGTAATTTAGTTTTTTTTAATTTGTAGATAAGTTTTGATTAGGGCCTATGTGGCATTCTTATTTGTGTATAAATAGGTGTACTAGGTTTACATTTATATCAATCAATTCCTTCAATCATTTTCTGCCAGCTTTTAAGCATTTATTCCTTTCTATCTTCTTCCTCAATTTCATCACTTTGCACTAACAAATTGGTATCTAGAGCTCTTGGTTTATTCTGAAATTCTGGGAAACAAGAGTGATAGTGAGCTGTGTGTTTGATTTTTGAATCTTGAACAAAAATCTGAAACAGAATCACACTGATTCTGTGGGTTTGGGAAACACTGAGTGAGAAATCTGAGATCTGAGTTTTTCTGTGCAAAGGTTTAAGATGAATGGAGGCAGTAGTTTGAACACTAAACTTCCAGTTTTTGATTGTAAAAAATGGAACAGATGGAAGATTCAAATGCGTGTGCTGTTTGGTGCTCAGGATGTTCTGGACCTTGTTTCTGAAGGTTATGTTGCAGCTGCAGCAGATGCTACTGAAGAACGAAAATCAGAAGAAAGAGCTACAAGGAAGAGGGATCAGAAAGCTCTGTTCTTTATCCATCAGTGTGTGGATGAAAATGTGTTTGAGAAGATTGTTGATTCGACGACGTCGAAAGGGGCATGGGATATACTGACCAGATGTTATGGTGGTGACGTATCAGTAAAGAAGGTAAAGCTTCAGTCCCTGCGAAAACAATATGAAAATCTCAGCATGAAGAACAGTGAGAAAGTTTCTGAATACATCTCCAGAATGATTATGATCAATAATGAAATGAAGGCTTGTGGAGAAACACTTTCTGAACAGGTAATCATAGAAAAGATTCTGAGGTCACTTACGCCTCAGTTTGATTACATTGTTGTTTCGATTGAACATTCTAAAAATCTGGAAACCATGAGAATAGAAGAGTTGCAAAGCAGTCTAGAAGCACAAGAGTTGCGTCTGACTGAAAGAACTTCTGAGAGGGAAGTGGAGCAAGCTCTGAAAGCTTCTTTTGTCAAGAAGGATCAGAAGCAGAATAAACATGGTGATAAATTCTAGAAGTCAGAAACCTCAACTTCTGATGAAAAGAAATATCAGAAGGGAAAGGAAAGATATGACAAGAAGAAGGTTCAATGTTACTGCTGTAAACAGTTTGGCCATTTTGCCAGAGACTGTAGAAACAGAGGAAGGAAATCAGAAGAAGCAAATATAGCTAGAGAAGATTCTGATGATGAACCTGTGCTACTAATGGCTTCTGATTCTGATGGAAACTGTTCAGGAGATTGGTGGTATATGGACACTGGCTGTTCAAACCACTTGACTGGGAACAAACAATGGCTGATAGACTTTGACTCCAGAAGGAGAACAAAGATCAGATGTGCTGATTATAAGTACCTTAATGCAGAAGGTATGGGAAATGTTAGAGTCAGAGTGAAGAATGGAAGAAACATTCTGATCAAAGACGTCTGGTATGTTCCTGGAATTAAAAGCAATCTGATGAGTGTGGGTTAGCTCATTGAGAAAGGTTTTTCAGTGGTTATGAAGGACAACCTCTTGACGTTGTATGATTCTAATCAGAAGTTGATCATAAAGTCTGAGCAGGGAAGCAACAGAACATTCAAGGTGAATGTAGAAACTTCTGAAGCGGAGTGTCTTAGTGCAGAAGGCGCTGAAACTGACAGTAAGCTGTGGCACAAGAGGTTGGGGCACTTGAACTATAGAAGCTTAGGGCATCTAAGTTCTAAGAAGCTCGTACATGGCATTTCGAAGATTGTGAAGCCTCAGAAGTCATGTGAGATATGCATGAAAGGCAAGCAACCCAGATTTCCATTTGCATCAGAAGTAGCCCCCAGAGCAAAGCATGCTCTGGGTGTAGTACATTCTGATGTGTGTGGATCATTTCCAGTACTTTCACTTGGAGGAAACAAATATTTCGTGTCTTTTATGGATGAGTTCACAATAATGACATGGGTAACACTCATCAAGTTCAAGCATGAAGTGTTTACAGAGTTCCAGAAGTTCAAGGTGAAGGATGAGAAGCAGAGTGGTCAGAAGCTGAAGATTCTGAGAACAGATGGTGGAGGTGAGTATAACTCTACAGAGTTCCAGAAGTTCTGTGAGGAGAATGGAATAGAACGTGAGGTCACTGCTCCATATACTCCTCAGCACAACGGTCTCGCTGAAAGAAGAAACAGAACTTTGCTTGATATGACCAGAAGTATGCTGAAAGAAAAGAAGCTACCTCACATGTTATGGGGAGAAGCTGTTGCCACATCAGCATATATTCTGAATAGGTGTCCAACGAAGAAGCTAAAGGAAACTGTTCCTTTAGAAAAATGGACTGGAGACAAGCAAAGTGTTAGCCATCTGAAGGTATTTGGTTCTGTGTGCTACAAACATATTCCAGAGGCTAGAAGACGAAAACTGGATGATAAAAGCAAAATAATGTTACTGGTGGGGTACCACAGTACAGGTGCCTACAAGCTTTATTGTCCAGAAACCAACAAAGTTGAAATCAGCAGAGACGTCATTGTGAAAGAGTCAGAAACATGGGATTGGAACAAGCTTCAATCAGATTCTGGTGTAGTGCCAACACCAGGGTTAGTTTCTGAAGACGAGTCAGAGTCAGAAGAAGAAGACTCTGAAGATGAGTCAGAATCTCAGGGAGATTCTGATAGTGGATCTGATTCTGATCCAGATTCTGATGATAATCCAGATTCTGGTGGTGATTATACTTCTGGAAGGGAAAACTCTGAAGACATGGGGTCTGGAGAACAAGTTTCCAGAAGTAACACTGAAGGTGGTAATTCTGAAGGAAGTAGTTATGGACAAGGTTCAGAAGCTAGTATTGTTCCGAATTCTGGAGAAGCTTCAGAACAAGATCAGAGGCCACAGAGAATCAGACGAATACCAAGTAAGTTTGCAGATTTTAGCATGTTACATGATACTGAAGTAGATTCTGAAGGAGAAATCGTTCAGTGTGCCATGCTAGTAGATTCTGAACTAGTGGGTATTGAAGAAGCGCTCAAGAAGAAAATGTGGCTGAATGCCATGAAAGAAGAACTTGAGGCTATTGAAAGAAACAAGACTTGGAAGCTGACAGAACTTCCAAAAGGCAAGAAAGCCATCAACGTCAGATGGGTTTTCAAGCAGAAGCTAAAGCCAGATGGATCAATTGGCAAACACAAAGCGAGATTAGTGGCCAGAGGTTTTCTTCAGAAACCTGGACTAGATTACTTTGAGGTGTTTGCGCCTGTAGCTAGACACGAAACAATCAGACTAGTGATTGCTTTAGCTGCAAACAGAAATTGGCCTTTGATACATCTGGATGTGAAGTCTGCATTTCTGAACGGTCCATTACAGGAAGAAGTTTATGTGTCACAACCTCCTGGATTTGTGAAAAAGAATCAGGAAGGGATGGTATACAGGTTAAATAAAGCTCTGTATGGACTGAAGCAAGCGCCCAGAGCTTGGAATCTGAAGATTGATTCGTTTTTCAAGGAACAAGGGTTTTAGAAGTGTGAGATGGAGTATGGTGTTTATGTTCAGCATACTTCAGAAGGTAATATGATTCTGGTCTGTTTGTATGTTGATGACATATTACTCACAGGAAGTTCTGAACAAGAAACAGCTGAGTTCAAGAAAGTTCTGATGAATGAGTTTGAGATGACAGATCTTGGAAAAATGAGTTTCTTTCTAGGGATGGAACTTATATACTTTGAGAAAGGAATTATTTTACATCAGAAGAAGTATGAACTAGAGCTTCGGAAGAGATTTGAGCTAGCAAATTGCAAAGTTGCTATCACACCTGCTGATACGAATCAGAAGTTGGACTCTGATTCTGATGGAGAGGATGTGGACGCTACAACCTTCAAACAGATGGTTGGTTCTCTGAGGTATTTGTGTAATACCAGACCTGCTATTTGTTATGCAGTTGGAATGGTCAGCAGATACATGAGCAAACCAAAGTGGTCTCATTACCAAGCTGCTGTCAGGATTCTGAGGTATATAAAAGGAACTCTGAAATATGGAGTGTTATTTCCTTCTGGAGGAAAGATCAAATCAGAACTTCTGAATTATTCTGATTCTGATTGGTGTGGAGACAGAGTTGACAGAAGAAGCACTTCTGGGTACTTATTCAAGTTTCTGGGAGGTCCAATTTCTTGGTGTTCCAAGAAACAGCCTGTTGTGGCTTTGTCAACATGTGAAGCGGAATACATTGCAGGTGCTGTAGCTGCTTGTCAAGCAGTTTGGCTTCTGAATCTGCTGCATGATCTGAAGGTTGAAGTTGAGGAACCTCTGAAGCTGATGATTGATAATAAGTCTGCAATTAATCTTGCAAAGAATCCAGTGCTACATGGCAGAAGCAAACACATTGAGACGAAGTATCACTTTCTCAGAAGTCAAGTGCAGAAAGGAGTGTTAGAAGTTCTGCACTGTAGCACTCAGAAGCAGCTGGCAGATGTTCTGACAAAGGCAATAAAAACAGAACAATTTTTGCGCTTGAGAGATGAAATTGGTGTTGTTAACTTCTGATAAATTACTAAATTACGGGATGGTATTAGAGGGTAATTTAGTATTTTGTTATTTGTAGATAAGTTTTGATTAGGGCCTATGTGCCATTCTTATTTGTGTATAAATAGGTGTACTAGATTTACATTTATATCAATCAATTCCTTCAATCATTTTCTGTCAGCTTTTAAGCATTTATTCCTTTCTATCTTCTTCCTTAATTTCATCACTTTGCACTAACAGCAACAAGGTTGATCAATGACGGAGAGCTCTGTTGAATTAGACAAATTGGTTGGACTCGATGTTAGAGATAAGTAAGTAAAAAACAAAACTCCCTTCTCTCAAATTTTGTTATACATCCTTTATGGAAATAAATATGCGATGTTTCCCGTTCAAAATATAAAAATCACATGGTCTGTTTACTCTTTCCCCCTGGTTATACTGATGCTTGTGCTACAAAATTTCTATATTTTCAAATTATTATCAATATATCTAGTCAGCATGGTTTTGAATAGTTGTTGCAATAATATTTATAGTTGCAACGCAATCCTTGATATTATGGAGAAATGTTGCATATGCAGCCTCAATAACAATAGCAGTTTCAAACCCTTATTTAAATCACAATGTACATATGTGTCGCTGCTTCATAGCATATCAACATATCAACTTTCATAGTCTAACTTGCACTCTTTCATTCTCACTAAATTATAACCAATTCATTAATATATCTTCTCGTACTTTAAGGTGATAGTTTTGTGTTTTTGTTTTTCCTCTTTCAGGCCAGAGTCTATAGAGATTGAAACGATAGTTCAAGCAGTAATAAAGTCTTTGAATCATAAATTCTCAGGATTTACCAGCGATCTTGTTGGGATGCAACCTCGCATAGAAGAATTAGAAAAGCTTCTAAAATTGAGCTCAAAGGATGATGACTTCAGAGTTCTGGGAATTTTGGGGATGGGTGGAGTAGGAGAGACAACTCATGCTACTATTTTGTACGACAGAATCTCTTATCAGTTTGATGCTCGATGTTTTATTAATAACACACACTACTAAAAATATGACATTTGAGAAAAGACTCTTACATCAGCTATAAAAATAAATAATGTAAAAAATATTTGTCAAAAGATTTTACATCAGACTTTTATTTTCCCTTTATATAAATAATATATGATTTAGAGGAAAATATAATAAGGTGACAGTTTGGTAAATAAAATGAAAATTTTTATAAGGGATTTTACATCGGGCCGTTACTATCCACCGATGTAAAAAGTCAAATAATAAAATAATACAAACATGGTGACAGTTTTGTAAATAAGGTGCGTTTTTGTTAAAAAAAGTGACCCTTACATCGGGCCCTTTGCCCAACCAATGTAAAAGAAAACACAGTGGCAGTTTTGTAAATAAGGTGCATTTTTGTTATAAAAAAAGTGGCCCTTACATCGGACCATTTGCGCAACTGATGTAAAAGATTTGCCCTTACATCGGGCCATTTTCCCAACTGATGTAAAAACAGTGTCACAAAACCCTAATGTTACTACAGATTTCCAATCACGCAACCGCATTTCATCTTTAGCCGCGCTTCATCTTTCTCGATCAACCACAGATTTCCTCCGCGGGCAAGCTCTCCGGCGGACGCCTTCACCTTCGTCGTAACCAGCCACGCTTCTGCCTCCTCTTTCAACTTCCGTCCTCCCAGCCACGCGTTCCCAACACCCGCTCGCTCTCAGCAACAACCTCTCATTTCCACACTCTAACAACCTTCGCCGTAACAACCTTTGTCTGCCCAGCCACGTGACCCTTAGTCTTTTCGCATACCACAATAGCACCAACCCTTTTGGTAAATATTTTTCCACCATTTTGTTAGTTAGTTTGTTCTATTTGAAATGATGAAAATGGTGATACTATTGTTGAATTAATTGGTAAAATTGGTGATGGTGATGTTGTTGTGAGGTTTAAAATAATAGCGATGATTATTGTTATTGATTAATGGAGAAATTGGTAATAATATTGTTAATAGTTATTGTTGAAGGTAGTGATGATATTGGTTTTGAATTTGAGAATTCATAATGATTTTGTGGTTGTTATTTTAAGTTGAATGTTGAGGTTTTGGATTGATAATACCATTCCATTTGTGTTAAGTTATAGGATAGATTTGTGATGTCAATAACAATATTAGTTCAAATAACTGATTAAAATTTTTCTATTGATGATTATGGTGTTTGTTTATGTCAGATTGTAGTGAGATTTTGTTGTCAATACCATGTTATTTGAGTTTAATTTGATCGGAAATTTAATTGGTATTATGGTGTTGTTTTTGGAGCTTTGGTGTCGACACCGCATTATTTGATTTAAATTCGGGAAACCATCTCCCTCCGTCTTCCTCCGCCCTTAGCCTCTGGACGTCGCATCATCTCTCTCCGCCCTCCGTTTTCGACAAGTTAGATTTAACATTATTGTTACTGTTATCCAGATTTATATTACATTTTATCTAAAGGAATGAACGTATTTCTACTCAAACTAGAAACATTCAAGGACAATTAAGTAGGACATATTCTATTTCTATATTATTTGTGACATAGTTTCTTATATTAAGTCATTGTGGAGTGATCTAACAAGTAAAGAATGTTAAAAAACATTAATTATTAAAAAAGTATATTAGAAATAAAAACTTCTAATGATTTAACTATGTATTCATTAATTTCGGAACATAGGTATGAATCGTAGTTGGATGAGAGCTAATCGATTAAGTGCTGAGTACGAATATGGAGTGAAAGAATTTCTACAGTTTGCTGAAAGTAATGCTGAAAAAAAAGTCTTCATGCGCTTTTTCTCTGTCCATGTGTTCGTTGTGCAAATAAAGAACCAAAATTTAGTAAGAAAGAAATCATGGATCATCTAATCTGTGTAAGGATCTGTCAAAGTTATACACAATGGATATGGCACGGTGAAGTAGTAGCAAATTCAAACGTGTCCCAAAGAGATGATGTTAGCGTCGATATGGATGATCGTTTGGAAGACATGATGCATGATATTGGACAAGATTCTTTTAAGAGGGCACATGCGTATGATACTTTATGCAGTGACAAGGATAAACCTTTGTACCCAGGATGCACAAATTTTACACGTTTGTCAGCCGTGTTAAAATTGTTTAATCTGAAGGCGAATAACGGGTGAACTGACAAAAGTTTTACCGAATTGCTTGAATTATTGACAGAAACGCTTCTAGAAGGTAATGTAATGCCGATTCGTTATTACGAGGGCAAAGAAAATATTATGTCCGATGGGTTTTGAGTATGAAAAGATACATGCATGTCCTAATGACTGCATATTATACCGAAAAGAGTATGTAAACTATAATCATTGTCCGAAGTGCAAGGTGTCACACTACAAAAAGAAAGATAGTGATTCTAGTGAAGATGATGTGGATAATTTTGTATAATTTCATTGGTTTTGTTGTTGTAGTAATCCACCTTTTGTAAACTTCCTTATAATCTAGATTAGTACTTTTATAACTCAATGGTTCGTTTTGAAGAATATATATGTACGTCCTAGATATTTGGTGCAATGAAATTATTTTTTACTGGTTAGAAAAATATGAAATTAGCGACCTAAATATGGCCAGTGTTATATGGTAAAAATATGGAAAAAAAGTGACCTAAATGTGGTCTTGTGATGTTGGAAAAATATGAAAAATAGGTACAAATAAATAAATTCCGAGAATGCACCTGATTTAGTTAAATTTGACATATTAAACAAATATTTTACATCGGGTATATTAAGCAAACCGATGCAAAAAACAATTTATTACATCGGATATATTGATCAAACTGATGTAAAAGCTTGTCTTTATTTTTTTTAATAATTTTTATTATTTTTTTATATCAGTTCTAATAACTAACCGATGTAATAGGTTGCGTTTTTACATCGGACTGTAGCTCGATGTAAAATATTTTTGATTTACTATATCGTTTGGATTTACATCGGACCAACAAGCTCTAGACGAAAGAAATCTAGACTCATACGATACTTGTGAAATTTTCGGGATTATGATAAATAGGCTTCACAGTTGCACTAAGGTCCTTCTAATTCTTGACAATGTTGATCAATTAGAGCAATTGCAAGAGTTAGGTATAAATCCTAAGTTACTTGGAAGTGGCAGTAGAATAATCATAACCACAAGGGATAAGCATATTCTAAGAGTGTATGGGGCTGATAAAATTCACAAAGTTCCCTTGTTGAATAGTAATGATGCTTCTGAACTTTTATCTTAGAAAAGCCTTCAAAGGTGAAGAACAAAGTAGCAATTGTGTTGAGTTGATTCCAGAGATTCTAGAATATGCTCGAAATCTTCCATTAGCAATTAAAGTAGTGGGCTCTTTCTTGTGTACTCGAGATGCTACTCAGTGGAGAGATGCTTTGGATAGATTGAAGAACAATCCAGACAGTAAAATTATGGATTTGCTCCAGATGAGTGTTGAAGGACTACAACATGAGGAGAAGGAAATATTTCTGCGCATTGCTTGTTTTTTTAAAGGGGAGAGGGAAGATTATGTAAAGAGAATTCTAGATGCATGTGGATTATACCCTCAAATAGGAACTCAAAGAGTCATTGAGAAGTCACTCATTACCATTAAAAACCAAGAGATTCATATGCATGATATGTTACAAGAACTGAGGAAGAAAATTGTTCGGCACAACTTTCTCGAAGACCCAGTATCGTGGAGTAGATTATGGCGATACAAGGATTTTTATCGTGTTTTGAAGACAAAAAAAGGTAACAAATTATGTTTTCAAATCTAGAGGGTGCCATTTATGCTTTTTGAGTGAATTTAACTTTTGGAGGATCATGTGGAGAAAATGATAATTATCATTGATTATTTTATAGAGCGTTTTGATTCTATTCCATCTATTTTAAAATAAATATCGTTATAATAAAAAGAAATTGTTTCAAATGAATGTTATTTTCACATTTTAAATGTACAAATAATTTTTATATTTTCATTTATGTCTTTTGATTATTTCGCATCTCTAACATGTTAATAAACTTAATTTAATAAAAGTGTAGTGTGTTTGACAACTTTATTACATCTCTTAATATGAGAAGAAAAACTTTAAACATCATTAACTTTAAAAGGGAGGAGTGTATTTTAAGTTGCTTTGTTCACTAAGGATACACCAATTTCAGCTTCAATTCATATACTTCTTCTATTTCTTTTTACATTCTATTTTTCTTTATACATATTAAAGCAATTAATAAATTTTATTATTTTTAAAATATCATTATTTTTCCTTTATGTATAATATATTTAATAATTCATAATTTTATTTTATTTATTTCTTTATCGGAAATATATAACTAAGGATATTATAAAAAAAATTATGATTAATAGTGAATTGAATTTTAAAAATAAAATAAGAAAATACGAAGGAAAATATTTCTCTAGATATGGTAAATAATAAGAAATAATTGTTGGAAACTCTAAGCACAACTTAATTCACAGAAAATAATATGAATAATAATTGCATATAATTTGAAACAAACAGTTGGCTTATATAAGCCTTACAATGAGAAAAAATAGGAAACAAACTGTCCACGTTTTACTAATTCTAATAACGTGGTAAATAGCTAAATAAATGTTGTAACTCCACCTACATGTCCTAAATACTAGGATTTATTAACTGACTGCACTTTGACAACTTCTACTGTAACTTAACAAGCCCAGCAAATTCCTCCCTTAAACTGATTGCAGTAATGCTTTCAGTTTACTCGGGGTACCACACATACACCCATAGACTCACGCAGCTTCAAGAACACCTCCAGCTTCAGTGGTTTTGTCATAATGTCAGCAACGTGTTCTTGTGTGACACAGTGCTTCAGCTCTACAACTCCATCTCTGGTCAAATCACGCAAGAAATGAAACCTTACATCAATATGTTTGCTGCGTCCATGCATGATTGGATTCTCGGATAGCTTAATGGTAGAACTGTTGTCACATAACACAGTGGTACACTTGCCTTAAGAATGACCAAGCTTTTCCAATACTCTCCTCATCCATACCCCTTGACAAGCACAAGAGGCAGCTGCTACAAACTCTGCTTCAGTAGTGGACAAAGTAACGACAAGTTGTTTTTTCGAGGACCAAGACACATCTCCTTCACTGAGTAGAAACACATAACCGGAAGTGCTTTTTCTGTCATCTACATCTCCTGCATAGTCACTATCTGTATATGCCACCAACTCTCCATTACCCTTCTTTCTATAAAAAACTCCCAAGTCCACAGTACCTTTCAAATATCTTAACACCCTTTTCGCAGCTTGCAAATGCAACTCAGTTGGACTGGCCATGAATCTGCTAATGAGACACACGACATACATCAAGTCTGGCCTTGTTGCAGTGAGATACATAAGACTTCCGACCAATTGTTTGTACATTGGTAGCATTCACCTTGGCTCCTTCTTCATCCTTCATTAGTCTAACACCAGGAACAATGGGATTCTTCACACTATTACTCTTCTCCATCCTAAACCTCTCCAAAACTTCTTTTGCATACTTTCTTTGACTGATATAAATGCCTTCAAAATTTTGTAGAACCTCCACACCGAGAAAATATTTCATCTTTCCCAAATCTGTCATATCAAATTCAAGTTTCATAGAATCCTTGAACTTAAGAAACATATTCTCATCATTACCAGTAAAAATCAGATCATCAACATATAGACTAATGATCAGAATTTTACCTCCATCTTCTGTTTTTATGAATAAGGTGTGTTCATAGTTGCACCTCTCAAATCCTTCTTTGACAAAGTATGCTTCAATCCGGATGTACCATGCACGAGGGGCTTGTTTAAGGCCATACAATGCCTTCTTCAATTTGTACACCTTATACTCTTCACCTTTCTTCTCATAACCCTGTGGTTGCTCAACAAATACTGCTTCATTTAGCTCTCCATGCAAGAAAGCGCTTTTGACGTCAAGCTGATACACACTCCAACCATTTCGACTGAGAGTGTCGAAAGGTCCTTCGACTCTTCTATTGCATACACAATATTCTCAAACTTGTCTGTTAAAGATCTCAAGATCTTTTCAACAACTGGTGCATCAGTTATTGTTTCGCCATTTCTGGTGAGTTGGTTCACCACCTTTTGCACACGTGTGATGTAGTCAGATACAATTTTTGTCTCCTTCATTTGTATCCTCTCCAATTCGCCACGAAGAGTTTGGAGTCAAACTTGCTTCACTCGATCTACTCCTTTGAACACTCTTTCTAACGTTTCCCATGCTTTTTTTGACGTAGTCGAACCAGCAACATTTCCAAAGCCTGATTCGTCTACAGCCCTGAACAACATGTATAATGTCGTTTTATCCTTCGATCGCGTCTCTTTCAACGCCTTATTTTGAGCTGCCGTATATCCCCCAGTTTCTATTGGTTCTTCAAACTCATCTCTGGTCACATCCCACGCGTCTAGAGATCCAAGAATAACTTTCATTTGGATACTCCAATTTACGTAATTTGACTTCGTTAGTCGTGGCAACGGTATTTGATTCATCATGTTTGCCAAGAGCTCTAATGCCAATTTGTTATAAGGAGCAGACTTTTATATATTCTTGTTGTTGAAATAAAATACAATATTGGTCTTTATATAAACTCAAATGACTTCTACTATTCTAAAAATAAATAAATACAATTATTAAATATTATTATAACCCACTACCTCTTGACTTTCCAAATAACATTGATTTTTATCCTTCCCATTACCTTATTAAAACCCACTACTAATGACATTAAAGTTTATTCAACAAAACTCCTCTGTAAACTTAAATGTTTCTTCCATCCATCACGCCCATCATTTTTTCTGCCTCTGTCAAAGATTTCTTTTGATAATGGTTTAGTGAACATATCTGGTGCTTGATCCTTACTTGCTACATGCTTCAATTCGACACTTTATTTTTTCACATGAAGGACAGGTTCATAAGGACATTGCTCGAATTCATTCTCTTTGAAATATGTGTCAATGCACGTGTTCCATGCCCTTGATGCTTGCTTCAGCCCATACAACGCTTTCTTTAGATTTTACAGGATGCACAAACTTAACACAGGTCCATCCATCAATTTGACATCTTACAAAATTTCTTTTCTTATATTTGCTAAACTACAGCAGTTTGCTCAACCTTGATTTTGCTAATGTATCAAGTTTATGTTCTTTGAGAGTTCTACGCCTTTCTGGTTGTACAAAACTTTATCTAAAGTTCATGAATCCTTGCAATTGGAAAAACATTGATTTTCCTTCAAATTGCTTTATTCGAAGATCCTTCAATCACCAATTTGACAGCGGTTCAGTAGTAAGGATAGTAGACTATGGGGAGTTTGACAAGAAGTCTGGCTTTGCCTTCTGTGTGGCATTTGAGGTAAACAATTGTCCTGTGAATTCTGGTTCGTCACAGGATTCATTTTACTCAGCACTCCCACATCCTTTATATCTTTCTTTTGAAAGTGAACACACAGAGGAACCCCTCGATATGCCTCTCAGTTTGGAACGGGGCTTTTATAACCAATGATATGAATTATTTGTATATCACATTCATCTCTTGCAATACAAGTTTATCCAATAATTTCTGTTCAATTAATATGTTGAGGCAATTTTAATATTTTGATTATTGTCCAGGGAATATGCCTGATTAGTTGAGGTTAAGGTTCTGTCATGAAGCTGATCAGGTGAAAGAAGACATGATAGGTACTGTTATTGTATGTTTGTGTAGGATGAATGCTTTTATCAGTTGCAACTCGGGAATTTGTTCAACTTTGCAAGTCTCGTGTTGGACAAATTGATAAATTTGTATATCCATACAAATGGGCACTATTAGTCACGAGTATATGATATTAAACTTCATTTTAGAGGATTTAACAAGAAAAATGCAATATGCTAGTATAGTTTAGTATGCTAGGAATATTCAATTCCTACCATTTACTGTACAATGTTAATAACAAAAGAATATATTAAACATGTTGCAATTTAAATATCTTATTGTTTTAATTAAAAAATATTATTTTATTTATGGTTTTGGGCTGACCAGATCTACCCCGAACGGTTCTGAGCTGACCACATTGGTCTCAGCCAATAGCTAGAGAAAGGTCTCACTTCTTCCAGAATCTTCCTACTTTGCGGAGATTATTCTTCTAATGATCATCAAAAATCTTAGCTGCAAATGCATCAAATGACTTCACAATTCACTCCTAATTAATCACGAGTTAGTTATTCCATCCCTATTATATATAGAGAATGTGCCAGTTTCAGGTAACAGATTTCAAACACAATTTGAATTCACTTTTCTTCTTTACGTACTGACTTGATCGTTGGAGTGCTAACCTTGTAGGTCCCTCACTCCACCGCGTCGAAATCTATTATCTGCCATCACTATCATTCAACTTTTCATTTCTGGTTCCAGAATGGATCAATGGCTCCATCTGTGAGAATCAACTTTTGATTCCTACGATTTTCACAAATTCACATTCATTCTCCAACTTTCAGAGTTCATAACTTTTTCCGAACATCGAAACAAGTATTCACAATCAAACACAAGAATCTATCAGGTTTTGATTTGGCTTAGCATAATCTCAGTCTTATTTCCTCAAATTTCCAAATTCTCAATTCTTACTTTCATCGGTGATGATTGAATCTAAGGCTACTAGATTCGCCGTTGCGCGAGAAGCTGTCATTGCTACTTTAACAACAAATAATCAACCGCCTCTTTCTGCGTCGCAGAATGTCATAGATCATGGAGCAGTAGTTTTTCTACATCCAACTCAGGTTCAAGCTTCATAATTGTCAAAATCTATTCACTTTAATCCAGTAGAAACTATTGTTTCACTTCCAGCTACGCAACATGAAGTCATGCCTGGCCTCCATGCTCTACAAACGAACATCTTCATGTAAGGTGCTTACGAGCTGTTGAACAATATGTTTAACATTGTTCGACAACAAAAATCAGACACTATGGAGGAAAGACTTCAACGCCTTGAAGAAACCCTTCACAATGCTTGCTTTAAGAAAGCCTCATGTTACCATCCCGAAGCCATCAGGGACAAAGAGACGAGGCTCCTCGGTCGAAGTACTAGCGTAAAACAAAGAAGCATCAGACTCTTCCTCTAAGCCTCAGAGGAAACCGGGAAAATCATGTTACATCCCCGATTCAGGCACAAATTCACCCAAACAATGGTGCAACTAAAGCACCCGTTGTCAGAAAATGTTTGATAGCAAGATCCCCTAGTCTATGGAGAAGCCTCGTAAGCTGTGTGACTATACTGAGAAAGGAGATCCTGACAAGCACATGCAACTTCTGGATGATTGGCTAAGCTACTTCAGTGCCAACGATGTATCCAAGTGCAATTTGTTTGCACTAACCCTAGTCGGGAGGACTCGATTGTGGTTTAACGGTCTGTCTGACGTATGTATTGATTCTTAGGCATAATTTTGTATGAGGTTTTCTGTGCAATTCATGACCCATAAGCAAAGTCTTATAGCGGAAGCTGCCCTTAGCGGGATCATTTAGGGAAAGACATAAAGTTTATGATCATATATAGAACTTGTTGTACCCCAAAATTTACCCTCTTTATTTCGATTTTTTTGGCTTACATTTCATTATTACATACACGCATATCATTGATTCTATGGTTATGGGATCAAGGTATATTTAGCAAGCTTCGTCAGGTTACAAGTGGCGTTTATTTCGCCAATGGATGTTCTCAGAGTATTTTTCGTGCTGAAGATCGGTTCGCCGTTTCACAATGATTCAGGGTTCAAAGATTCACAAGTCCAACTCGGCGCGTCATATTCAGGTGTTCTTTCGCCAATATATCTCTGATAATGTATTCTCAAATTCAGGTTCACCTTGAGAGCCAATTCTTTAAAGAAGGTATCCAAATGTGCGAGTTTTCTCGAAGAAATATGGTGAAAAAGTGTGCTGAAAGTGCAGTTTTTACGCACTAAAAAAATTCATAACTTGAAGATTGTGGCTTGTTTTAAACCTGTTCCGGTGGCCAAAATTCCGTCTTGACGTCACCTACATTTTCATCTCACGGCTAGAAGCCAATTTTGATCAGAAGGTCTTCAAAAATGCGGATTTATAAAGTATTTTCGTACAGAAAATTTGTGACAGAAGTTTATCTGCGTCATGTTCAGAAAATTATAACTTGGTCGATTTTCATCGTTTCGAGCTGGTTCTGGCGCCAAAATTTCAAAAATTGAGTTGGCTACGTTTTCACAGGAGGTATCGAGTTTGAATGATATCCAAAAGGCCTTCGTTTTTTTTCCAGAGTGCGCGTGACGCGCCGAAAATCTTGAATGCTGAATATTATTTCATCTGGATCGAAACTTCGAAAATTCATAACTCGATCAATTTTTATCGGATCTGACCCATATTTTTACACAAGGTCACTAACTCACATATTTACAACTTTTCTTCCAAAGTCGAGATCGGGTTCTGCTCCGATCAATACCAGCTTTTTATTGAAGAACATGTCACCAAATTTGAATTGAAGTGAAATCTTTTGGATAAATCAATAGAAATACATACATAAAGAGATAACTTAATAGAAATACATACATAAAGAGATAAATTAATATAAATACATACATAAAGAGATAACTTAACAGAAATACATACATAAAGAGGTAAATTATTTTTAATTTTTTAAGGAGGATCCTATGAAGAACAATCAATTCCACTTTTGGTTTTTCGAATTGTGAACTGGAGCCCAAAATAAGTTTGTTTGAGGCGAAACTTCAAAAATTTATAACTAATTCACTGTTTATCTGATTGAGCCTATTTTCGGACAAAAGTTTTTTCTCGATGTCAGCTACATTTTGTTTTCACATTTCAACTTCAAAAATTGCACTTAAGTCCCTGCGATTTAGCCTGGAACGTGTCAGACTCAAGTGAATAAAATTTGCACTATTGCTTGTGGTTATTGGAGGTCCAATTGCACATCCAAAACCCATATCTTTGCTCTAATTTCCATTATATAATCTCATTTTTTTCATACAAACAGGACATGAAAATAAACCTTGCCACAAACTTGTCAAAATATCAAATTCTTTCAAGAACCCTAGAAATCTTGAAATCCTTGTTACAAACCTCTATCTCACTACAAACAAGCCTGGTTTGATCTCCATGATCAAAAGGGTGTAGAAGCATTCATACATGTCATATCGGTTTTAACATTACAAAATTTCATATATTTGATTTCTTTGTATTTCATAGTATACTAATTTATTTAATGTGTTCATGAGATTCAACACTGCAGATTTGGACCATCTAATGGTCCCATGCAGGTTTATTACAAAACACAGAGGCTGGATCATAACAATAATCAATGCATGGCTCAGTGGCAAGGTAGGCATCTTGAGGAGGCTAATAGTGTGAGTTCAACACCCATCCCTATTAGTTTTGGTTTTCTTCCATTATATTTATCCTTGTACCTATTTTCCTTCTTTCTGTTTAAAATATTTTTCATAAAACCTGACATTTACCTTTGATTTTTCATAATAAACTCAAATAATTAATTTTAGGTTTTAATTTAATTTTAGGTTTTTAATTATTTTTTTTCAAAATTAACCTTTTTTTTAATTAAAATATATTAGGTTTTTTTTAGGTTTATTTAATTCATTATCATAAATCACCAAAATATTTTCTTTTCTATTGTCATCTTATTTTTATTTTCCTAGATAAAGTGTATAGGGCGCGTTCAATTGTAATAGCGTAGCTTTATTTTTCCCGTATTTTTTATTTATCATTATCATGTAATTGCTTCCGGAACGTAATAGTTTTAGAATTTCTTTTTCGCACTCTTCACTATTATGTAACTGCCCTAAAGCTCTGTAATAGTCTGGGTTTATATTTCTGTCTTTACCTCCTGCTACTATATTTTATGCAATGCTTAGATTAATATAATTATATGGAAAGATAAGAATGAACGATAGAAAATCCTAAATACAAGATAAATAACCAAACTGAATCATTTGCACACTCGCACCTCTAGGATAACCTCACTTGTTGCCTTCGGATAAACAATGGTCATGTCCCTCAAACGTAGAGATACCCTTAGTGAAGACCCTCGACTAAAGTCATCATAAAGATCATATTCCCTCAATGTCCCTTGAGTTGCCTATGAATATATGATGACGTCCCTTCAAATTGCCAAAGGTATCCTTACATGTTGCCTTCAATGACCATAACGACGACCCTACGCCTGTCCCTCAAAACATCCAAAGATAGGGCTTCATACTAACTGATGGTATCAATAGCATTATCTAAAGGAGGAGGGAAAATACAAGAAAGACCTTGAGTGGGTAGTTACTGTTAATTGCTTGCTCACAACTTAAAACACTTTTTCACACCTCACACTTTCAAAAACATTTTCAAAACGCTTTATCAACACTCTTGAGGACTGATACAAGAGTTATCATAAAGAAAAATTCCTTGCTATTTGGCATTTCAAAACTTTTTTAAACTCACACAAAGCATTTCAAAAGTGAACAAGCGATTAATAGCCCGTAGATAACTACGGATGAAAAGGGTGCTAACACCTTCCCTTTTCATAACCTACCCCCCGTAATAAGAAAATTCTCAAAGGTCTTTCCTATTCTTTTCACCCTTTCTTTTATTGGATAAAAGAAAAGTCGG